CTCTTTATACTCTCTAATTAATTGATCACAATCTTTTGCATAAGTCTCCTACAAAAGTGAGCAGGTGGAAGACACACTGTGTGTGGGAGATAGTTAATAGAACAAGTGTCCTTAAGACACTAGAAAAGTATTTCAGGATAGTTTCAGGGCCACAGTAAGGTAATTTTTTAAATTAAGTCTAAATTATCAGATATTTACCATTTACCAACAGAGACCAAACAGAAAACTATGATTATTAACCAAGTGGGAAAGAGAAAAAGAAAGAAAAAGAAAGAAAAAGAAAGCTATCAGGCCCTTTTACAATGAAGGCTCCACATTTCAATCTCAGGCCAGCTCCTTTGCTACCGTAACGGAGATGCACAGATAACCAAACATTTCCATTTCCCCCATTTAATTCAGATATGATCTACAGACATAGACAGGATACAATATCCTCTACACCTGTTGAACTGCTACGTTCTGTAATTAAACTGATGAGCCTGATAATAGGTCAGAGCTGATGTCTAGAACCCGGCTACGTAAGAGGATTTTGCCAGTGTTTTCCAAACCCAACCTGTAACATTATAAAATGTGCACACACGATCTTATAACACTGCCAGAACTGGGCCATCAGTCATTGAATTGGATAAACACCAAACAGTATACTTAAAAAAAGAAGACATGTCCCCCCAACCAAAAAAGCTGATATTTATTTGGGCATGCATTACTGTGCTCAGGAATTTAGGGTCATGATTTCTAAAAATAAATCATTAGAAAGCAGCTCTGATGCTTTTCTTGCACTGAAGTGCAAGGCAAAGGCCAATGCTCTCACACTTACACAATTACTTTTGAGTATGGCTATCCAAAACACTGGCTATGTAATACTTCTACGCAGCATATTTTGAGAAGTATTACATATTATTAAAGTAAGAAGCATTTCTTGGCTCATTTCACCTTGCCGTTTTCACCCATACAGAACTACAGACGCCATTTTAAGTTAAAGGTGCCACAAAGCTAGACAAGCGGTCAGAATTTGCCAGTTCTTTACATTTAAAGATGCTGATGGCAAAAACATATACACAGAATCAGCTCTCCTGGAATCAGCTCTCCTGGCATGCTGTCATAGTTAGGACACTTGGGATCTTCATCCTTGTTTCTCTCCCTACCATCATTACACAAGACCCATCTACTTCAAGCCGAGTAACATGCAGTAAAATTTCAAGACGTTAGTACCTAACGTGTACATGTTTCCATGCTTCTCCGATCTTAATTTTTGATTATTTGAATTACTCAGGTACACAGACAGGCTGCTTGCTTTGAAGTATGCGATGCCTGTTCCGCAGACAGACCTTTGTTTGGAAGCAAAAGCACATACTGCGTTGCTGAACCAGCAGAATTCTCTACGCTGTTTTCTAGTGTCTCATACGGAGACTCCTTCTGATCAAGTTTATCTACCACTGTTTCTGTCTTGAAATAAATTATAGAAAAACAAAATCGGAATTGACTTCAAAAGTTTTGCTTTAAAAGTTCATTTGCACGTGAAGAAGGCAGGCTTAAGTCCTCTGCAGGCTTCACTTAGCTGGATGTAGTTGCAGCTACTGCGATTACTATAGAAGAAAACCAATTTCGCTGCCAAAAATTTCTTAGAAGTTCCAAGTATACAAGATACCCCCTTCTTTTCAGCAACTCTATCCACATTAAAAGATCACCACCACAAGTTCAATGTTTACTACACTACTATCATAGTCTCAGAAATGATACTTTAGGCAAAGAAGTCACAATTATTAAGTATTTAGTTTTAGATCTTTTATGAGCAAAGATGTTTTAATGTGTCACATTTCAAGAGCATGAATCTTTCTTTACAAGAAAAGAAAACAAAACACTTGATCAATTTGGAGCTAGAGAGGTCCACAAGGCTTACTGCAAACTAAAAGTGCATGGGAATACATGCATCATCCTTCATACATACAATATTTTGCAACAGGGTTGAGAACACAGTAAGTGTTAAACAATAGTTAGAGTTAAAAGTACCTGTAAAAAATCTCTCCTTGGAGAGATATTAACTGAACATCCTCCTCGACAGCTGTGCAAGTTCTCAACAAATGTTTTTCTGTACAAATGGTTTAAAAAAAATTAAAAAAAAAAAAAAATCACACAGCAAGTTCTGGAATATTCAAAACAATGATTTGATAGAACAAACATTCTACAGTTTACTTCAATTCCATGTTTTTTTGTTACAAACAATTATCATGGCCTAAGCCCTGTGCATTGGTGCTCAGATGCATGGCCTCATCCATGCAACATTATCTGTCCCAAGAGATCAAACTTTAGCCCTTGTACTAAAACCCAAATAGGCAACTGAATAAATTCAGCAGCTTTTCTGGCACTGAACCCCCTCCCTCCCATGTAACGTGACTCATTCAAATTTCAGATATTAAGTAGTAGACTTATCAAGGAGAGGTCACGCATGAACAGCACACTCAAAAGCTACATCAGATGTAGGAAGACTAGTGGCTGAGAAATGTGTTGAGCATTTTTGAAGGCAGAAGTTTCCAACACCACTGCTACAGAGAAAGAGGAAAAAGATTAAAATGAAATTAAAAAATTAAGTTTGTAATTTCAATAACTGTTTTGTCATTCAATATAGAATAAAGCAAAATAGTTTGTTTATACAGTGATGAGAGAAACTAAGTCATTACCTGTCCCTTCAGAGATTAAGTCCAGAAATAGAGACTGGTATTTTAAAACTTAGCTTTTCCTAGCCTAAAAAAAAAGCTTTAACGTATAAGTGCTATTTGGTAAATTATCTAAAACCAGAATTGTATTTGCATCTTAATATAGGGGTGTGTGTGTTGGAAATTCAACAGCAGTAAAATTGAGTTGAAGAAAACCCCACTGCATAAAAACTATCCGGAGCTACAGACTGGCTAGCAAACCAAATTAAGACAGAAAGGGTGGAAGTTTTTCATTTACCTGCTAAGCTGCACATGGAGCCTATTCTGTAACTTTTCTGTGACTACTAGAAAGCAGGCAGAACTATGACTAGACTGATTACTAGCAGTTATCTGACCAGACATACATGGTCTGAAAGGGAAACAAAAAGTTTAGCACAAAATAAGTAATTTCATCCTTTTTCCTATGAACAGTTAGGAAGTTACATTTTCCTCTCTTCCATTCAATGACCAACAAGCCTGATTAAATTAAGAGGAAACTGAATTTACAGCCATCTTAACCAGGCATTTATTTAGAAGGACACCATTAACTCATTTGCCACCATCATCACATGTTCACTTAAACTGTGAATGCAGTAGTTTCCTCAACTTCATCCATGTAGAAATGTTCCTCAGAAAGGAATTATAATGCAGAAACAAGTATTACCCATCCAGATGGACTTGACATTCTAAACAGACAGTCTACTGACAGAGATGATGAAATAGCAAAGATGCTCCACGATTACAAGTACCGCACAGCAGCCAGTGGAGTGACACAAGACCCCTTCCAAATCTGAGCTAGCAAGGGGAAAAAAAATACTTACTTTAAAAGCTTTTAGAACAGTGAGTATACCTTGCAGTAAATATATTCTTGCATCTGGCTACCATATTTAAGATCCATCATTTTCACATGAAGTTCCTTAAAGAAGTAGATACTGTCACTAAACAATACTTTTGTTCCAGCAGTATCTGATGATTAAATGACTGAGCTTTATACATGTCATTGTGTACAATTAGGCTACAGTAATCAAATTCTTCCTGAAAAACCCTACCACTAACATGACAACACCAAAGCATGCAGGCATTGCAGGCTCAGATCTGTTTGACACGTGTAACACCTGTTCACAGTGACAGAACAGTACGTAAGCTTCCAGAAACACCTTCCTATATAATCCCTTGGGGTTTTTGGGCTTTTGCCAGTAAAGTTACTTCCATGTCCATGCACATGAACTTAATGAATATTGAATGCACTTTTGTGGAGAGAAGAGTCTAAAATTTACACACATCCTAGACTGATACTTGCCCCTTTTAAAAGTATTCGTATAAATCTGCTTTGGGTGAATTAATTTAATAGGAACATTTTAATTTGTCCCTGAAACTCCTGACCAAACTTAGTCTGCTTTGGTCCCTCACCCTAAAAAAGAACTTCCCATTCATCAAGCCAACAGATGTTAGAACTACAAATGTGCAAAAGACTTCTAGAATATTGGCTTCCTTTGTGAAAGGACTATTTCAAACTAAGTGTAATCTATAGTAAGTGCAATCTTCTTTTCTGGCAAGTTAGCTACTGCCATGCCATGGTGGCCTGACAGGCAGGTCAGAACCAGGGGCAAACCTAGACCCTTGCAGTGCAACTCAGTGTCAAACCCAGAACCTGTCTTAAATGCTGTATTTAGACCTTGGCCAATAAGTCACAGTATTACCATTACATCAGAAAGACGTCTAAATACAGTTGCAACTCAAGCTCAACATTCTTGTCAGTAAGAATAACAGAGTAAATCTATACTGACCAAGTGAGTTAATTTTGGTAAAAAAGTGGTCACCTTCACTGACTACACTTCACGGGCTAAACTGCCTGGCTAGCCAGATTCTGCTGTTTATTTCTCCTGTGCGTTGTTTTTCTGTTTTGCCCTACAAGCTATCTGACAACTAAAAGCAACACAAGAACTGCATACACACAGGGTACACTTTCAGAAATTCTTTAGCTTCTGCCCACTAGAATATAATTGGAATAACTGACATGTCTTGACGTCTGCTTAGGAACACTTGTGACAGATAAAATAACACTTATTATCTACAGGCATCCTATCCAGCAACTTTGCTCCTACTCATCCCGATTTGTGAGGTACTAAATGAGCTATTTACAAATGTAAACTATGTAATTGAAGTTTTAAAATAAATAGACAAACTTTACATTAGGTAGCAACTTGACAAGGTAATAGATCACCCAATTACATCTTTCACACAAAATGATCTGTGTATGCTGCTCAAATTATTTTTTTTTTTTAATTAAGAAAATCCTTGGCTCACAATTTATTCTGCAAGAACTTCCTTGGTTTTCTTCCTTTATGCTGGATAATTGTGTAAAAACTCCTTAAGTTTTGTTGGATAGTCTGTCATCACTCCAGTTGCTCCCAGATCAAATGCCCTCTTGTACTCTTGTTCTTCATTCAGTACCCAAATATACACCTGTAACATGGGACAGAAAGACAAATTATTACAGGAAATACTCAGATTTTTAAAAAAGGTGACTTTTGACTTTAACTGTTTCATGTGAGAGAGATGATGCTGCATATATTTAAAATAATAAATTATTATCTGTAATGCCAAAGACGTGCACACAAACATATTCAACTTCTTCCCCGCCAGCACCCAAAGGGGGCATTTTCTAGTGGTGACTCCAACTCCATTTTGTTACCTGAGACTTCAGGTATTTCCAACAGTCAAAATATTATTTTGTGAAAAGCTCAAAATAGGTAAGCAGTTTAGCAGATTTTGTAGGCTTAAGTTTGAAGTGGGATAAAATCATCTTAAAGGGTTTTAAATTAAAGAGTCTTTTTCCAAGCATACAATTCTTCCTTTGCAACTACAGAACTGCAACTATAACAGTATAAGCTATTGCTCAGGAACCAAAAAACAACTTATAATCCTCGCAACACAACAAAACATGTTGGGGAGAACATGAGCCCATCTTAAGGCCATATCTGGCTGGTTCAAATTCTCACTAAAAGCACATTTCCTTTAGCTTTGCCACACTGTACCTGAATGCCCCTAGCAGTGAGGTGGTCAAAAAGTGCTTTCCGCATTAGCAATCTGCAGAAAGGAGAAAGATGTTATTTAAGAACTTGAAGTATATGCAAAATTTTCAACGTCTGTTGATGCTCTGTAATAAATTTTCCATAGAGCATTTTGATGCAATGTTTTCCACAAGAAAGCGATTAGAAACCTAATTACAGAAAAATTTTAGGTCAAGCAACTCAAGACTGGTTAACACAGATACAAATATCCACAGCTAATGCAAATTTCTGGGTATCAACTCTTCTGAAGACCAAATCCGGCAGACGGCTCCTGCATCGTACAGGTACCCTGTACCATGTCCGATGAATCACTCCCTTCGCTTTCAGAAGAGATTTTATTGTTCACACCAGATGATGTGAAAACTCTACTGGCCACTCAAGAAATCAAACTAACAGGTGTCAGACACAGAAGCAAGAGCCAAAAAACACTTATTGCAATCATCTCTGAAAGCATATAACTAAATTTCCTCGGAAGCAGATATTCTTAAAATGCAAAGTGTTCCATGTAGGCCAAACAGTATCTCCTCTGACAACTTTACGAACAGTCACAATCCCATGAAGCGTGAAAGCCGCATTCTGAATCCACTTGCATGCTAACTAGCTGAACAGAATGACAGAAACTAGATAGACTAAATTAAAATAATGCCCACTGTTACTGTACCTCAGTATGTTTTAGTGTATGAAAAATAAAAGCATGCAGGAACACCTACATAAGACTTGCAGATCATTTGTGGTGCACTGACAAAAAAAACTAGAAGAAACAAAAAAAAAACCCCAACATAACAAGTAGCTATAGCAATAGCTAGTCTCGGTTGCTTGTGCCAACTGTTAATATACAGGCAAAATACGAATAAAAATTTAATCCGATTAAAATCTTACGTGTCAGCTAGCCAGATAATAAATTTCTGGCTTCTTGTCATCTTCTGGGGTTCTTTCAGCCTGTTGAGGAAGAGGAAACAAAAAATTACCTGAGCACAGATTAAAGTATTATTTGAGATGTTCCTCCAAAAGGAACATGAAGAATTAATCTTGCAGTTTCTCAAATTAGAGCAGTAATTTCACTAAGACAGTGACTTAGCATTAGGTTACACAAGAGAAATGTGCTACATTTAAGAGAAGCAGCAGAGATGGGAATTCAGCAGCATTTTCAGTAAAGTATGAGAATCAAAGAGCAGGTGAAATCTCATATCCACCCTACTACCGGCTTGCCTCTTGGCCTTAATCAGACTAATTTGCTCTCAAGAAAAAAGGAAAAAAGTCCAAGAAATAGTTCTTTGTACAGAACTGCTACATGTTACTATCTAGATGGCATCAGCACAAGCTGCATTGTAAAGGCAGCTGCATGAAGGCAGTATTTACAGGAGCTGCTGTAAACACAGGCACCCCACACTAACAACTGAGTAGCTCAGAGCTGGCTAGAGGCAGGGTAAATATACAGGAGCAGAAGATACGCACAGCTTTCACTTAGGAACATGCAAAAGTGCCTGAAGAAACAAAACAGTACCCTTAGCCTGAGGACACTGACCAAACACAATGCTCAAGTCGGCATTATCATTCACTTGTTTTACTATCATTTCAGTGCAGCACCCACCAACGGACTCTAACTCACTTAAGGATGATTGAAGGCATGGGAATTTCCAAGAATTCTTCCTTGAAAGGAATGAATGGCAGCAGACCAGTGTAGAAGAGGCCAAGAAGCAGGAGAACACGTTGCAAACAGAAGATGATGGGAATGTCAGCATTCTGCAGGAACCAGGAAAGAAAGATTATAAATTATCTTTGTAGACTGTTGAGTCTGTTGCAATTAAATTTACTCATCAATACATGTTTAAAGTTTAGCATTTGCACCTAAAAATTAGGCTGCCAACTGTTTATGATATGCCTGACACTGAGTTTAAATTACTCCTTCTGGTAGCTTGTAATCCAAGCGGAAGTTTTACACAATTTGAAGGGGCACTGGGACCTGAAAAGGTGAAACTTCACTGGTTGCAGTACTGCTTTTGTTACCTGCCATCATCATCTTTCCAGACTGCATGACACTGCACAGCATTTTGTCTTAGACTAGTATTACTGCAAAAAACAAGCTCTGCTTTAGTACAGGAGTTGTTACAGCTTGTTATCACATGAACTCACTTCACAACACATTTATAAAAATGCTAGTTTATGAAAAAAAATTTGGACATTGATGCTATGAAAATGAGCAAATACAACTGCTGTTCAAGTAGGAGATGGTGTGTTGTCCTGCACAGATAAATCAGAACAGTATCTGTACTCTCAGCCAGATCGCTTTCACTCAGCATAACTCCCTCGGACTAAGCACACTTTTAATTTAATTCTAAATTGTACAATTCTGCAGCACAAAAAGGAATAGAATCTATAGCTGTAAAACAGCCTTATACCGACATAACTGTGTGTCAGCTAGTGGCCACGTCCATTATTTTCTTAAAAAGAAACACACGATGAGCAATCCTTAGAAAAAATGCTTTTGTACCAGATGTATGATGTGCCAAACGGGCTCTAAGAGTTCCTGGCATAAAACTGTAACATCCCCTATTTTATAGGGCAAGATTAAAACATGATTAAGCTTAATTCCTCAAGTATTCTACTGCAGGGTATATGGGTGTTAACTGTGCTTGACTTATTATAACAGTGTAGAAAGCAGAATACAATCAAAGTGCAAAATTTCTCATCACATCTGAAAGTCTGGCATAGCTGGCTAGATCTTGATTTACAGGGTGCTTTTCTGTACATTTTGTCATCACACAGAAACAAGCAGGCAAGAAGAACAAAGCTTAACTAGACCCATTCTTACCTCCTTAAGACACTTTGACACAACCTCATAATTGACATTCCCCCATACTGTCAAATGCTCTCGCTTATACTGACTCACGAGCTGTGAAACCTGCAATATAAAAAAGCAGAACCCTAATATGTATTCATTGAAAATTATACGCAGAATTATTTAAGTGAAACTCTACTTGCCACTTTTCAACTACGCAAGTCATTACACGAAAGATAGTTCTTCCGTACACTCTCCCATCTTAAGATGATTGTGCTGCTTTGACTGGAAAGAAGCATGTTCAGGTCAATAGGTAAAAGGAAGGACCATTATACCTACAAAAACCCCTGCATAATTTAAGAAAACTAGATGGCAAAATAGTATCTGATGGAAAGCAGGTTTCTGTGATGAACACTGATCTTTACACGACATCATGTTTTTATGCTGCTTTGGTAGGCAACAGTCCGTAAGAAGACCCTTCATATGAAATACAAAACAAACATGTCTCTAGCAGTGTAGCATCAGCTTCGTGTCAAGATAAAGGGTTAGTAAAGAGCTGCTTGCTGAATATCTTGCATGAGATCGCTTCTCTGTCTTCTGTATTACCTCATACATGGAGCAAGATCTAACATGTGAAGGATAAAGCAGTCCAAGAACATAGATTTCAGTGTCAGACTGCTAGCAGCTCCAAGAAACTTTTCCTTTGGAATTTCAACATCATTGCACGCCATTCAGTCTCAGTTCAGCGTAGATTTTCACGTACCTTTTTGATCAACACATTGTTGTTCACTTTGATGTCAATGTTGACAGGAGTTTGTGGAAATGCCTCAAACACCTCTTTCAGGAGTGGAATACGGTTGTCTTTTCCCTCACTGTGACATTCTGGGGAAACAAGAACATTGACACTGCTACGACCATTTTTAATACACTGCAGATAAAAGCTGAGATGTCAGAGCACTTGTTATCTTGAAATTAAAAATAATATATGGTTCCTAGAATTAGCAAATTTTTTAACTGGAAAAAAAAATTACTTCACTCAGTTGTAATCAATTATGACAAGCTCACTCTGTAATGAAAATTACCTCAGCATATTGAACATTTAGCTTTGAACTTTGTAAATTCAGACATTATTTAGCAACAGGAGGAGTGCAGGCACCATTAAAATCCCAAACCAGCAAACACGGGCTCAGTTACCACATACCAAATGTACTAAGATTACAATGAAACGAGACCAAATGAGAAAAACTTTTCCTTCTAGGAAAATTTACTGTACGAGCATAACGAGTAAAGGGCACAGAAGGCAACCCCCACCGAATTTGTTGTCAGAAACTGCTTGTGGCTGTAGGGAGTTAACTGAAGGCTCTCACCATCTCTTTGTATTATTGTACATAAACAACAGACACATACAAGTGAAATACCACATCATGGATCTCATTTTGGTGCATTTTAAGTATTTTTGCAATTTTGAACAGAAAAATTTAACACAGTATTTGCTTGCTGGGCAATTCAAATACGGAAAGGCTACACAAGATAGTCACAAAGGCGCTTGAGCGAACACATCTGATATAATCTCCAGTAGCCTTTTCCAGGTGGAAGGGGTCTCGGTTTTAGCCTGTGTGCCTTAATCAAACTACAGTCCCACGAATCAGTTTTCACAAGAAAATGGGCTAATCTTTTTCTAGGTTCTCCTCTCTTGCAGCAATATTGGTACTGAACTTTAAGCCATACATACAGTAACTAATACTCTTTTCATTCACCCTTCTGAAAAAGTCTGTATGATCTGACATCTCGTAGCACGTCAAGCCCGGAGTGCACCAGAACAATGGCATTTGAGTCATAGAAAAACCCTCTTCAGCTTTCTCTTTGTTTCTTGGAACAACAAATTTTCAATCAACGTGCTCTGAAGAGCTCACAAGGGAACTGGAAAGCAGTTGCAAGAAGTAGACAAGCAAACAATTGAAAGGTTTACTTAGAAAAAATTATCTTACATCTTACACTTAGTCACTGCCGAATAGTATGAAAAAAAAATAAATTGTTTCTAAAGCTAGGATTGTATTTTCCTTTTAAAACTTCTCTTATCAAGACACTGATAGAAGCAAATCCACTTTTCTATTCTCTTTGCCAAAATAAGAAATTGCCACACTACAATAATGGAAAATGAGTTACTGTTACTGTAAATTGAAACAGCAAAAGACAAAAAATTTACCTTTCTGAAATGTGACACTCAACTTGCAGAGATATGGTGGAAGTTCCTTAAAAATAAAGGGAAATGGAACACTAATTCACATGCAGGGATATAATAATGACTTTTCTCGAAAAAGACCAAAAAATTGTAATTCATAAGCCATGTAAGTTATCTTTGAAGACAAAAATAATATTTTATTTATAACTCTTCTTGCCCAAAATGTGATTTAGAAGCACTGCGTTCATTCTTACTTGAACTATTTGGATTTCTTAGACTTGCATTACCTATAGCTCAGTAAGGTAAAATGTTTCCAGGCACCTGTCTGAAAATTCTGAGAATTCCACTTAAATATCAAATGGAAAGACACTTCTGTAAAACAGGCTTTTAAAACTGTCAATGCAGGTGGGATTCATCTACTGGTTTTCCCATTAAAAAGCTGGTCATACGAGAAGGAGCTTGTTGACTAAGCTTCCTTTGTCATCTGTATGGCAAAACAAGCCCACCTCCAGAAAGCTATTCATCCAGCCTACTACTGGACAGAGTTCATCACCTCTGGAAACGTGCCGGTTCTTCTCCCTTGACTGCACAGGGAGCGCAGTTAACTTTTTTTTTTTAAAAAATTAAGACAAGATGAATCCCTTCCTGCCCGCCTCAGCCACTCTACAAACACATTTTTAAACGTCATCTAGCACTAACGTTTTTTCTACTACTTACAGAGTATTTGAGGTCGGATATGTTGACATCAACTCCTGTTGACCTCTTCAGGTTCTCATCATGGGACACAACCACTTGCTCATCTTTCGTCAGGTGACAATCTAGCTCCAACATGTCTGTTCCTATATTAACCGCACTGGAAGCAAAGAAGTCTGCCTTGAACCACACACGTATTTTGTACAGGTCCAAACCCCACTCATACATGTTGTTCAATTAAACTAATCCCAGTGGAGGTACTCCAGATGCTTTATGAGGCAATGAATCTTCACAATCTTGCTGCAAAGCAAGAAGCAAATAACTCTGCTGTAGTGGGAAAGCTGATGCAAGAATAAACAATCTATCATGAATCAGAGATGGGATTGGAACTCAGGAGCTTTGGCTCTGTCTTCCATAGAAATCAAGTAGCACACCTGTTATTGCAGGCTACTGCCTCAGTATTGAGAAATCTACTTCCAAAGTATTGTTTCAGAATTTTGTGTGTGATGTTCATTAGTATCAGCACATTTACCACTGGAAGAAGTGAGCTTTTTTTTTAAAAGTAATCAATTTTGTGGTAAGCATAAACAACAAATGACAGGGATGTGAAAGCCTTTTTTACTTGATTTAAGTTGATCAGGAAATTAGCAATGGGGCTTTCAGGCTTTTGGCTTTTTTGGCTAGTAAAACCACATTTTAAAAAAATTATTAGTTTAATAAAATTTTTAATTTTAAATTAAAAAAAAAAAGCCACTAAAACACCCAGTCATATTTTTCAAAGAAAACTAGCTATTCCTGTTCCAACCAGCTGCTTTGAAAACTTCTAATCCAATCCCAAATACACTCTATAAAAGCTTAGCTCATGGGAGGCGTAAAGAAAGCAGAAAGTTGTACAAATATTGATGAAAAATAAGTACAAGATACCTCACACCAGTACAGAAAAACTAAGCTTTACTCCAAGAAACAAACTGCTCACTTCATTACAAAAGATACTCAGGAGGTATCACTCCAGCAGAGAGCTAAAAGTCTCAGCCTGAAGTCTGAACACTTCCTTCAAAACATTGGGCTGTTCTTTTTACCCACCTACAAACAAACATGTAACATCGGTGAGGACAGTCTATGCTGAATCCAAAGCTCTGCAGCTTCAGTAACAGACTTTTCCTTAAAAAAGGGGCCTTACTGACTGCTGAAGCACAGACATGCCGTAAGCACTCACAAACGCATTAACACCACAAAAAAAAAATTAGAACATATGCCCCTAAGCATTTAACACAATTTCTGGTCCAGCTGGGATAATGATCAAGGAGAGGGTTGTCAAATTAGAACCAATTTGTTAACTGTTTTCCAGTGCCACTAATTAAGAATTAAGAGAGGAACAAAATCCTATTACACGTGGAAGATACACAGCATGTTGTGTATAATTTTCCCTCCTGAGGAAAAGCATCTCCAAATATGCTACAAGAGATTTTCCAGTTTTGTAGATGTTCCCATCCAGTACCACATGTTATCATTTAACCAGCAAAATTTGTTAGAAACATTACTGCTTAAGAAATTTAGGACTAATGCTGCATGGAAAAAGGAGAACAACTTTCCTTCTTAACAAATTTGAGAATTAGCCAGGCTCTTACTAGCAGCTTGTGCTAAATAAGCTTCCTTAAAGTGCTGTTTTTTTTCAGCTGGAAAGCAGTTTCTTCTGCAACTCTGTACTAACACATCAAATCTACATTGCTCCAGAGAAGACCCCAGATGTTCTCCAGATTCAGAAGAACGTGTTGGATTCAGATCCAACTGCTCCAGAACTCAAGTGGTGAAGCAGGCTCACATTTGGAAATTAGGATGACAGAGCTCTTCGCTTGCGTTTAACTCCAGCTGTTTTCAAGTGAAAGGACATACCAGGAAACAGGTGAGAAAAGCCTTACCTTGGAAACTAAATTCCATTAGGCAAGGCCTAATATAGCACAATGTCTAGAGTTTATAAATACTAAGTTGACCACGTACTTTTATTGCTGAAACTACAGTGTTTAAAGCAGTCTCTCTAAACCAAGTATGTTCATAAAAGAAAAGGAAATACAATGAAAAAAATACCTGGAGAGTTTACTTAGCAGCTTCCTGTCAAGACAATGCTGAAGCACACAGCTTTGTAAGCAACAATTAAACTCATAATTAAATTCTTATGACATCTCTTATGCCAGATCCCCAAATACTTTAGGACACTGCAAGTGTCTCTTTTGGCTTAAAATCAATTATTTTAAAATCTGAAACCACCACAGAAGCACTTAAATACAGTATAACATGATTACAGAAAAATAAAATAATCTATTTGGTATTTTACCATGCAAATTTTTGGTATTTTGTCTTTGGTACAAAAAGCATATAATTGCTTTCCAGAATACTTGTAAGTTAAGCTAATATAGAACTTGAAATTACCAATAAGGCCACCCCCCCTCCCTTGCTTATATTACTAAAATAATTTCTTCATTATCATGCAACAGTATGAAATATTCTCCAGTCACTGATTAAAGTGTAAATAGCATAAATAAAACTATTTGCTTGTCAATACTTAGGTTACTGTCAACAAAGCAAAAACAAGGGGGTAGGTCTTACGTTGCAGACAAGCAATCTCTTTTGGATTCAACTACATCAATGGTCAAATATGCCTGCTTGTCCAAACCTGCAGAAGCAGCTCTGGCAGGACGCCCGATTTGGCTTCATGCAAAATCTGATGGATTATAAATTGATTAGTTTATACCAGCCGTCTGAGACAACCCAGCTGATTTTTCACCATGCAGTATTCTACCAGTTTTCTACCCAATTCCTTTTGCTAGCTTACCAGTGGCGATGGGAATGAGCGGATGGGAAGGACACAGCCTTTACCCCTCCACAGAGGAAGCCAGGAGACTTTCTACTGTCTAATGCAAGGTAATCACTCTGACCCTGCTTTCTGCAAAAGCAATTTGCCTTTATTATTCAGCCAAGACAATTTCAAAACAAGTAACTGAACTTTGCTACTGGCAGCTGCGACGAGTTCAAAAGGTGGACCTCACCACATTTGTTATACTATAGTCGTAAAATATTTAAAATGGTTAGGAGACAGACAAGTGTCTGTATTATCACAAAACATTATTTGACTCCTAGCACGGTCCTTACTTTAAGTACTACTGCTTCCTTCCAGGAATGGAATTAAAATAGGTTATGGTATAACCTTCTTTATAAGAGTCCCATACATATAAAACCAGTATGATACTAAATGAAAATTAAGAAATGGTTAAAAAAGAGAAGCACTTGTCAGAAAGTGTGCTGGCAGACTTTAAAAAAGGCAGGCCAGCAGGAAAAAGCCACAAAACTATGCTAAGCTTCCATGGAGATAGAAAATACTGCAGTACTTTCAATAGCACTGTTTGGTTGGGAAAGCTGGCACTCCTCAGTCTGCAAGGAAATGTGCAAACTGATGAGGCTACTTAGCACAAAGCAAATTAAAAAACCCAAACAAAACGAAGAGAAGCTTATGTAATTTAGTCACTTCTCATTGGCAGCTGGAGTTTTAGATATTATTCTTTTTCAAATGCCTTTAAGAACGTTGTTAGAATTCACTACTTAAATGCTGGAGGCTTAAAAGGCTTTGCAGTACCAACTCCATTTTAAACCCCTAGATAAGGGGCTTTCACACACTGTGCAAATGAAGTGTGTCTGAAGGGAAAAAACGTAACACAAACATTTTTAATAGCTAAGTTAGTTAACATTAGCATTGCGGTCACAATAATTCTAGGAGACAAATTATTAACCTTCTATATAGAGGAGGGAACTGAATACCACGAAACCGTGGAGTATCTAAGAGAATTGCTTACAGCCATAACAGCAGTTAGCAGATTGAGACTTCCTGAAATCCAGCCTCACATGCTAATTAGAGTATTGGTATAGGCTATGATCTGAAATAGCTTTTGAGAAACATGGATGTATCTAGAAAAAAACAGTGTATGATGTTAGTTATGAAAAATAGCTTTATAATGATAAATAAATTAATGGAAGCAATCGCCATTAAACATGGAAGCAGTTTAGTTTCATGTTCTATTAGCTAGCACAGGAAGAATCAGGCCTCAGATTTTATTTCCAAATGCCAGCCTACCAGGTTATCGTGTACAAGTCATAGTTCGTGGTATCCCAATTCTTTCTTGTTGAAACTGGAATAACATTTAGCAATCCACAGAAGTCATCCAAAGGAGAGGTGACTTTCAGAAATAGGACACTGTACCCCAAACAGCTGATGGAAGTCCTATATTTCTTGACTGCTTCACTCGCTAAAGACAATGAGAACACCGCTGATTTAGGCATTATTGGTTCCATTTGTACTCACTGGTGAAAGGCTGCCATCGTGTTTTCCAGGTTCTCTCCAGCACCTACAAAAATAACAAAAACTAAAACATATACAAAATCCTTTTCCTCCCCTCAATCCCAGTGGAAATAATTTTTTAAAAAAATTATTTTAAAACATACATCTTTTGAGGAAATATTTGGAGGAAATGAGTATGAAGCTAGAGTCAGAAATCCCTGTTGCCGCTAACCTACTGGGGAGATCCAACAGACAAGGTAAAATTGTTATCTTGGACTTGTGTAACACTTTGAATATACAAAACAAAGTGTTTATTCTACCAGAGGTTGCGTGCCATTCTTCCTTAAAGGCACTGGATTTGGCTATGACAACATGCTCCACAGGCAGAGGAACAGTATATACAAAAAGTCTGTTCCAGAGTTAGTGGGAGGAGTAGTAAGAGGGAAGATAACTAGAGGGGGGTGGGAGGGAGAAACAACCAAGGAAAAAAGCTCCCAAGACTCTCTAAAGCTGATACTGCCTAAATGCATAACCTAGTTGATGCTCAAAGAGGTGACAACCTCTTTTTTCAGCACAAGGTACTTCCTGAAACAGGCCAAATCTGTCAATAAAGGTTTGTGCTGCTGGCAAAGGGAGGTCTCGTACACAAGGAATGAAACGCACATCAACTCCAGCTAAGAAATGAAAGGACAAGCAAATTAAATTTACTCTCAGGCAACAGTAAAGTCTGCAACTCTTAAGCCGTCATTCTCTATGTAAAAATCTTTGAAAATCAGCCTGGTTAAGGGACTGGAAAAAGTTGTGCCTTCTCCCTCCCCCAGAAAATAGGCAATATTAAATACTGAAAACCAAAACAACTTCAGGAAGATACATGTACTGATGAGGATATCTATGCAAATTGTAACTACACTTTGACAGTGATGAATGACAGACTTTGTAAACAACAATTATAAAAGCCCCAATTAAGGCCTTGCCTATAAAAAAGACCTCACCAGTACATACTTACCCAAGTCTGTGTTTAGTTACTTAATGAAAGCAATGCAATTCTATGCAGGCACAACTAGCAATTCAAAATTGTTGTTATCAGGTTAGCTTGCCTTGTTAAGTTTACAAAATGAAAGGCTTAACTGACTTAGAATCACAATGACAAAATCTGTGTGGTTTAACAAACACCAATACGGTAAGTCCACAGCAGCTTCTGCGATTAGACATTCACCAATATTTTTATGGAATTTGATTGCAGAATCAGGAATAGGCTGAGTGGCAAAACTGACCTAGGGATAGAGGAGAGCATGACAATGTCATTGTATACTTCTGATGATTGCCTAACAGATGCGAAAAACCTGCACAGGAACTGGATGATTACTTGTAAGTTAACTGCAATAAAAATTGAGGTTTTGGATAACTTATCAACTGGGACAACACAGCTCATATATCCTGAATGGTAAGAGAGGAGAAAAAAACTGAGTCAGTCTTCAATTTGCGAACAAAACAACAGTATTCTAACAGCCCTGGGAAGAAATGTCCAAAAGTAGAACTTTAAGGGACTGATCTAACAAGTCATATGGTAGGGAGGTACCTACTGCGAGTCAAACCAGTTGGTAACAAAATGCCTGACTTGTAGCATTTTGGGGGAATGAGGAAAGAAAGTTGAGAGATCAGCTGAAACGGGAATTCTAAATTGGCAATACTGCTTTCACAAACCACACTCAGAAAAGGGAACTACGACAAGCAAGGGGCTTGATGTACTAAATCATCTTCCCTCCGTAAAAATGAAAAAGCTGGGCTGACTGAAGGGCTTCTGACATTTACTTAAATGCACCTCCAAGTTCATGCATTGTCCATTTGCGCTGTTGCATTTCCCACGCAGAAATTGCCCTCCTCAGCATGCTCATACTTTAGCACCCTGTGAGCCAAAATGTCCACATCCAAACATGATGGCTAACTCTAACTTTGCAAGCACCACCATGGGACAAGATGGAGTTAAGGTCAACCACTGGCTCAAGGAGATGGCCCTTAGATGTTCTGTTGTCTTGGGTTCCGCCCCGCCAACGTAAGCAAAGAAGCACGTTAGGAAGAACGCTGCCAGCAGGTCAGGGGAGGCGACGTGTTCCCCTCTACTCAGCAGTGGTGAAACCACATCTGGAGAGCTGTGTCCAGTTCTGGGCTCCAAAGTGCAAGACAGACATGGATCTACTGGAACAAGTGCAGAGAAGGGCTATGAAAAATTAAGGGATGAGAGATTCTTGCATACAATGAGAGGCTGAGGGTGCCAGAATTGTTTAGCCTGGAGAAGAGAGGCTCAGGAGGACTTTATCTACAGGTATAAACACTGGATGGGCGGGAGGAGAGAAGACTCAGCCAGACTCTTCTCAGTGGTGCTCAGGGAAAGGACAAGAGGCAATGCAAACAAATTGAAATACAGGAAATTCAGTTTATAAACATAAGAAAAAAATGGGTTTTTTAATTGTATGAGTGATCAAGCTCTGGAATACACTGCCTGGAGAGGTTGCGGAGCCTCCATCCTTGGATATACTCAAAACCTAACTGGACAAGGTCCTGATCAACCTACTGTAGTCGCCCCTGCTCTGGTCAGACAAGACGACCTTTTCTGTGATTCTGTAAAATTCATCACATTACCCTGTCTCAAAGACTCTGCAATCCAGACCATGCAGCTGGCACTGACAGACTACTGTAACACAGAGTATCAAGACTCAATTATTGATCTTGGAAATTACCAATTTTAAAGTTATGCAAGAGTGAAGAAATAATTCAGGAATGCTTCCACTGATAAGCTATAAACAGAGATAAGAAAGTTCCTGCATTGAAGAAAGAAGTGAAATCAAAACACACAGACCTAAAATACTTCACATACAAGGCTTCATCTCAGAGAGGAAAAAGCCAAACAAGTGTTATCTTGATCTCCGAAGTTAATAGGAGTAATGCAATAGGAAACCTGACACTGAGTTTAAAGCTACAGCATGACTAAAGCCTGAATTTAAGTCCCACAGAATTTAAGTTACAAGGTAAATACTACAGACAGTAAAAAGTAAGTTATCTTCAGCCTCATAGTACCCAATGAGCAAAAAGCTGCTGAGATGATGTTTAACCATTGAGCTTCTACCGTAGGTGCAATTCACAGTATACATGCGGACACAAAACAATTCAAAGGCTGTGGACTTTGTCTCTGAACACCTAATGAGTAATCCTCCCACTGAGTAAGGCTTTCCTGTTGTTCTGATGGTGCTTAGTGCAACTGGGTGAAACACTTGGATTCTAAGCTTAGGGCTGTGTATCTTAACTAAGATCATTGCAAAGAAGTGAGAACAAAAGAAGATTAAGGAGATCAAACCATGTTCCAACAAAGACATACGCAAGTTTTTAATAGCTTGCAAATTAAGAAACAGGTAACAACCAAAATTGAGAACCTTTGTTTGTTGAACCTACCAGGAAATAGCTAATATACGCATTCCAAACTAAAAGGTGCCATTTATGCTATACTGAAGACTATAGTTATAAAGAAACTTCATCTGTTCGATAAATTAAATGAAGGAAATGCAAGAAATAAAGGCTGTAAGAGATTAGCTCTAGTTTTTGTATTTTAATAACAAAAGGCAGTAGCAGTAGTTAAGGACCATTGGCTAGAACAATGATCAAACACTACACCAACTGGCACTAGAGACAACACTGAAAACTGTTTAAACTCAGCATCTGACATATCTCCCACACATTTTTTGGAAAAATATTTAGTAGAAAAACAACTGGCTATTTTCACGACTTGAATGAGGCAGCAGGGAAAAGTGCAGAACTGATTTTCACAGAGCATGAAAATAAGATTTGCTGTATTTTTTTCCTCCCAATGCTTTGGAAAAGGTAGAAGAAACTTTATAAACATCTCTTTAGCTATTTTACACAGAAGCAACCAGCCTACCCACAAGGCCTTGGCACAAGGTGTACAGAGGAGACAAGACTCTCAAAATGGGATCGGTTTTACCACGGCACCGAACCATTAACTGTCTCCGACAGCAAGGGGAGCAAGATCAGTCTCACGGCAAACTGCTTTTCTTCTGAAACCAGAAAGCAAAGCAAATAGGCAATTAGAGGCAAGAAGATTGATCTTTTGTACCTGACCTAAGCAAGAGTCAGCCACCTCTCTCATTAGGAAGAGAAATACCATAATACAGAATCATCAGGAAGAAGTAACGTCTACGTTTCAGAGGGAAACCATCCCGACCCACGTAAAACAAGCTGATTTCGGCTGACGCGTTTATGAGTTCGGAGATTAATTCAGCTTTGTAATCAAGCACTGGTCAGCAGGTGGCACCTAAAATTAGGTTGCGGCAGAAAGGTTTAAAGGGAGCCCGCTGCGAGCGACGGGCACGGCGCGGCAGCCCCTCCAGACCCTCCCGACAGGGCTC